TCTAGAAACTTCCTCACAGATATACCTAGAGGTGTGTCTGCTAAGTGATTCTAGATCCTGTGAAGTTGATAGTATTAACCACCATACTGTGCTTAATTTTTAAAATTAAACTCTGTCAAAGGATAATACATAGTAGCCATAGGACTGGGTCTTCTCTGTGGAATGCCTGGGAACCTCACTCGTGAATAAGAAGGGTAGATGTACACAGACCTGTAGCCTCTACGTGCACACTCGCATGCACATGTGTGCACACACACAAGATTTTAATATGCAGATTAACAAAAAAGAAAAAACTGGAGGACTCATGCCATCATCACCCAGAGATAATCTGCCTTTTCTTAGGCATTTGGTTTTGATTCTGCTTACCATCTGAAAAAGATAGCATGAAATTCTGTGTGTCAGGGATCCTATAGAACGGAACACCTCACATTAACAAGAAACCAAAACTGAGACTCTTTCAAAAGGAATAGAGTATCACTGCAGAGGCACCCTTAACTGCATAGGCATATGCATCTACCTTGACCCTACTGTCCCTCCTTTAAACTCCAACTTGAACTGTGTGCGTGTCCACCAACAGTCTTTTTCCTTAAGTACAATGACTCATCCATGCTATGGACCTTGAAAGTCAGCCTAACCCAGTTAGACTTTTTAGGGATTCACATACTGCTTTGATTTACCAGCCTCGTGATGAAGCCCCAAAACTTATTTAGTTCAAAGAAGGTTAAATCACCAGAAGGAATGTCAAAAGCTAAATTGTTTTATTTGATGTCTCTTCACTCAAGAAAAGTGATTTATAGGACCCTCTCCATGGAATATGCATTAGTGTTCTGAAGCTCTAGCAGGGCTAGTCTTCCTGGCTCATTCTGCTGTCTCTTCATCTTGCGGCCTGCGGCTAGTGCACTACAAAGATTAGTTTGTGTCTAAACAGTTTTGCCTTCAAATCAAAGGTTATTAGAGTAGTTCTGTTTCTCTATCGATTGCTGGATGTGCGTTACCATGAATCCAAATGGTTTTTCAGCTGTGTGTGTGTGTGTGTGTGTATGCCAGTGTCCTTGTGTACTTGAGGAGGCCAGAGGTCAATGTTGGAGTCTTCCTCAGTCACTTTCCACCTTATTTTTTGAGACAGGGTCTCTCACTGAACCTAGAACTTGCTGATTCAGCCGGACTGTCTGGCCACCAAGTCCTAGGGACCCTCTTGTCTCTACTTTTCCATCACTTGGATTACAGGCACACACACACACACACCATACCATGCTCTTCCATGCAGGTTCTAGAAATCAAGCTCAAGTCCTCATGCTTACCCACTGAGTCATCTCCCCAAATTCTGATGTTATTGTGGTGAATTATAGGCTGCCATGCACAGGTTCTCTCTAAGAGGATCACACAGGCCATATGATTGGGCAGAGGTGAGGGCAGATGGAACAGATAGAGGCCTCTGTGCTAAGGAAAAACATTCAGTGAAGAGCCGCAGCTGTAGAAGTGTGGCTGAGGCAGCTGGTGACGGAAGGTATCCAGACATAGGTGTAGCACCCTAGGCTCAGTGAGCCAGCATGAGAATAGCTCTTCCAAAGGATCTGAAACAGAGCAATTCCTGTCAATCAGGTCCTCCTGGGATCTGCTTTATTGACAGAATGCAGTTTTGGTGGATCAAGCTCATTAAATGGTTCTGCACACATCAGGCAGAAAACATAGTATATATAAGGAGGTTGAGTTTTAGCCACAAGCACAATTTTCCCTGCGTGTTCCTCATGGTGCTTTTATTTTTAGGAAAATGTTGCTCAGTGGAAGGTTGTTTCATCGCTTGAGTGCTGGCTTTCCTCCAATCCTGGTAATCCTCTGAGGTTCTAGCAAGAAAGAAATATTTTGTTTT